GCAAGCGCTGAGGCTGAACACGGCAACTGAAGTTTGCCTCCACAGCCATCTGCAGGGACTAAGGACAGCGGAATGAGGACCAGATTGTTGCCACCCCTGTCCCCAATGCCTCGGCCTGCTGTCATCCCCAGGGAAAGGGGAGAGATATCTGAACTGACCAAGCTTAAGTTTCTGCCACCAGGCCAAATGGGGCAAAAGAGAAATTATGTTTCTTGCACACCTGAGTTTGGCCTGAGATTATAGGCCGTACATTACCCTTCATAGTATGTGTTAGGGGCGCCCACGATATCACAGTTTGTGAGATCGAGCCCCACGTCAGGCTCTGTGCTGGCAGCACAGAGCCTGCCTGGGATTCTCTCTCCCTCTCTCAGCCCCTCCGTCTCCCCCCCACCTCTATCTCCATCTCTCTCAAAATAAACCTTTAAAAATTAATAAATAAAAATAAATAAATATGTGTTAAATGGAACCAGTGAATAGAACTGAGCCCGAGATCCGCAGCATCAGGGATGAGCTGGTCGATGGACTCCAATTCCTGCAGCCCCTGAGACCATAGTTTGGAGAAGTCTGGTCAGAGAGGATAAATCCCTAGAAGGATCCTGAATAATTCTTTCGATGCTCTCCTCTACACATGCACCTCCTGCCCTCCGCTGCCTGCCCCACCCCCCTAAGGCTCAGACTGCACCCCACCCCAAGCAGGCTTCTCCATCATCCTGACTCACCCCTTCCCAGCTGGTACCCTCAGCCCTTCCCCAAGACCTTGACAGCAGTGAAAGGAGCCACCTTTTATTGTAAATATAGCATCAACAACAATAAGGGCTACTGTTCCCTGAGCAAGATTACATCCAGGACCTTCTCAGGCATAACAATGGCATGGTGATCCAGCTAATCAGAGAGGATGAAGGGCTCAGTGTGTAAACTCAGGCCCAGTGGAGTCCCAGGTGAGCAGAAGCATGGCCAGGATGGATCATCTGGCTCTTGGGGCTGTGGGCAGCTCTGTACCCAGTTAGGCCAGATTCAGGGCCACCCCAAATGTGCAGGGCTTTTTCTGGGCCTACCCATGGGCAGGAGGAGAAACTTGAGATTCAGCAGGGCCTCCCAGGAAGCCCATTAAGCAAAGAGGAGTACCCCCCCCCCACCTCAACATGGAGGTGAGAGGAGCCTGGATGCCTCCAATTTGCACTTCTCAGTGCTTCCTTCCCCTGATGAATTATTCATGTCCATGGCCAGGCAGCAGATCAATAATGCAGGAGGCAGAAGCCCTGGCAGGGCCCATCTTCCAGCTGACCGGCTCTGCCCCAGGATCCAGGGAGGAACTCTCCACAGCCCTCCCTCGATGGGGTGGTGTGGGCTTCTGTGCTTGGGTCGCTGAAATCCTTCATGGAAATCCAGCTGTCCCCAGGGCTCCAGGCTGGGAGCTGGGCTGCAAACATACCCAGGAAGGTGGCCTTTTTTTTTTTTTTTTTTTTTACAATTTCCATACCTCGTCTGCCTGGAGGGGCCCGTGTGTCCCTCAACACAAAGGAACCATGTGGACCGGTCCAGCCCTGGGAGTAGGAATTCCTCTCACAGGATGAGGGTGCAAGAGACATCCCCCACTCTTCCTCCAGGGCCCAGAGTCTAGCAGGTAGAGACCCAGGGGAGCCAGAGAGTTCATTCTGGTTGCAAGTAGAAACTTCCATCCAAGCAGCAGCTTCAAGACACCTGTTTGACTTTCTCTGGTCCCTAGCAGGTTCCAGCAGATTCCAGCAGACTCCAGCAGACCCATGGTGGGGGGCCAGAGGCTGGGGAAGTTCCGTGCTTCCTTGGGAATGGTGCTTTGGGGGCACACCCACCGTGACCTTCTGACTGCCTCCCACACACGCACCCCCTACTCACATGCGCCTCCTCCGCCAAGGGCTGCAGCCTCACTGGCAAACACTGGGAAGAGGGGTGTAGACGTCACCTGCTAGGAAATGCCATACTTACCCGGGGTTCCTCTCTTTGTCCTTCTCTTTGTTTCTCAGCACTGCCTAGATTTTCTCAGTTTGTTACAATAGATCCTTGTAGTAAGAAAGAAACCCAAATGACTGTTACTTTTGCAGGGGAGAGAAAAGAACCACTAGAGAAGAAAAGAACCACCTAAGGTGAGACTAGCCAGCTCTCCTTCAGGCTTCCAGCCCAGAGCTTCCCCAAACTTAACATGCAAAGGAACAGCCTGGGGATCTTGTTAAAGGTGGATATTCTCCTTAAAGGGCATCGTCTGAGTTTCTGCATTTTTGCCAGCCCTGGTCATGTCCAAGCTAATGGTCCAGGGAGCACACTTTGAGTAGCAAGGCTCTAGAGTCCATCCCAGTGGCTTCCAACCTCAAAAGACCATTGGGGTGACCACTGGAAAAATGTTTTAAAACCCGGATGCTCCAGGGGAGGCTGGCTGGCTCACTTGGTGGAGCATGCAACTCTGGATCTTGTGGTTGTGAGTTTGAGCTCCATGTTGGGTGTAGAGATTACTTTAAAAAAAAAAACCAAAAACATCTGAAAAAAGAAAAAATGCAGGTGCTCCAGCCACACCCCAGACCACTTAAACCAGATTTTCTAGGAGTGGCAGCCAGGCTTCAGCATGTCCTCAAGCCCCCAGGTGATTCTAGACCAGCTCAGCTCACTCCTTTACTTGAGGAGACTGAGGCCCAGAGAGAGGCCAGGGGCTGCCCACGATGACACAGACAATGAGGGAAAAGTTTGGGGCCTGGGCCAGAGAGCTTTCCAGGGCCCACGGGGTTGTCTCCTATCATGGGTCGGGGGATGGGCAGGAGGCTGGCAGGGACTCAAGGGGCAGGCCAGGGTGCCCAGAACTACCCAGATTCTGGGATGCTCTCCAGGCTGGGGGCCAGGCTGTGCCCCCACATGTATCGAGCCCTCGCGGTTCCCCAGGATTGCGTCAGGCTCCCAACAGCCCTGGGCGTGTCCAGAGCAGATTATCACCCCATTTACAGATGGGGAGATGAGGTTCAGAGAGGCCAGACCCCTTGTCCCAGGGCATAGCCATCTGTCATATGAGGCCTCCTGCATTGTGAAAACTCCAATATTTCCCTCACTGATTGTAAGACACAGGCGCCCCCTTCCCGTTTTAAAGTTTCTAAAATTGGGTTGTGTCTGACAATGTCGAACCAACAAGCCAGGCACTACAGTGATGTGATTGTTACTGGCAGTGCCCGTGGACAGGAGGTGCCCAGTCACCTGAGTGTTATTAAATTGGCAGCATTACACTGGTGGCATTTCATCTTCATCTGGATCCCCGGGTGGTGCTTTAAGTATCCTTGGAAAGATCATGAGTCTCCCGGTGAAGGCCACCTTCCTGCTCTTGGCTTCCCTGACTTCCTAGGACAGCCCTCTGTCCCGTGTTCCCCTCCCTGCAGCCCTCATCTACCCAGCTGGCACATTCACTCACCCTGCCCCAGCAACTAACTCCTTCCTTCCAGAACTTTCCCTTTAGGCCACAGGTCCTATGGTCCAGAAAGCCTGTCCTTTTCATCTATGTGTCCTCAGGGTCCAGTATAAGGCCTGGTATGTAGTAAGTGTTCAATGTAGAGGCAGCTTTTAGGCAACAAGCTTGAGCAACGGAAAACTGAGTAAGGTACAGGCAATGCAAATGGGCTCATTAAGGGACCCACCTAAAAATGACCAGTTTTTAAGATTACCAAAGAAAGGAAAATTCCATATGTTCCCATACTCCCTCGCTCCATCCTGTAACTGTGGCCCCTCCCCACCACCTCGGCACTGACCGGCTCTATTTTGCTATCCTGCCCCATGCTCTCTCACGGTGTATTTGATAAACTTCTATCTCCATTGTTCTGCCTTGGGTGAATTCTTTCACCGCCCTGGTCACCAGCCCCCATCCGATTGGGACACCCCACCTTTGGTGGCTCCCCTATCCGATCGGAGCACCCTGCACTTACTACAAGTTTGTGGAAGGAGAGAGGGAGGGGTCCCAGCCCAGGGTCCTTTGGGGAGCCTCCCTCCCACTCTGGGGCAGAGGTTGCTGCTCCCTCCACGGCTCTCTCTGTGAGCACCCACTGAAACACCTCCACACTGCTGTGGTCTGACTGCTGTGTCCTTCCCAAATTTGTATGTTGAAATCTTACCTATCAAGATGATGGTATGAGGAGGTGGGGCCTGTGGGAGGTGCTTAGGTCAAAAGGGTTCTGGGATTAGTGCCCTTATAAAAGAGACTCCCAGAGGGGGAGAGGGAGAGAGAGAAAGGGGGGGTAGATGTCACTCTGCCCACACCCACACCCTGCTTGGCCCACACTCCAGCAGTCTGGGAAATGGATCCTTCCTCCCACCTTATGCCCCACCACCGCTCCCCACCCCCACCAACTAACTTGCCTTCCTTCTATAGGGCTTTCCTCTCTGAGTAGCAAAGCATGGTTGCAAGAAGCCAACTTTGGGGTCAGCCCTAGGGACAGGGTCGGTTCACCAACATTTATTCAGTACCTTCTGTGTGCTGGGCATGGTGTGACCTGGGACAAGTCCCTGAATGTCTCTGAGCCTCAGTTTACCAATCTGAACCTGGAGATAACACTAGTAACCCCCTAGGATTTCCCCGTGCATGTGAAACACCCAGCATGAGCCAGGCTGTCAGTAAGTGTCGGTTTCCTGGGCTCTTCTTTCTGTGCCTGAGGTCTTTGTTCAGGTGCAGAAAGGACAACTGAGGGAAGGTGGGAGCTGCATTCCTCTCTGGAGAAACTGAGGCCCAGGGAGGACAAACTTACCCAGCGGAATGCCCCGAGTGTGCCCAGCCTTCCCATTGTCTGGCTCCGGGCCCTGACCCCGGAACTGGCACCGACAGACTGAGTGGATTTCCCCCCAACCCTGTTGTTCGGAATCCTTTGACCCCAGCAAAGGGCCGTGGAGCACATGCGCTTTCAGCTTTATTTGTTTCCATGCCGAGCAATACAGAGGCGCCAACTAGAGAGTGTGGTGCGGGCGGGGGTGCGCGGTTCTTGCTGGGACAGGGGGAGGAGCTATGTCTGCATCCAGAGCTGGGGGACCGCTGTGTTCATGCAGCCAGCAGCTGGACCCACGACGGAGCTGGGGCAGCAAGGGGTTAGGCCTGGTGGGGGGGGGTGGGCCAGGCTGCCTGTGGGTGGAGGCGACAGGGGAGTCAGGGGACCCTCCCTCCAGTCCGATCTCCGCAGGGTGCAGGCCTTGTGCTCCTCTCTGCCCCAGGAGTCAGTCTCCTGAGGCCTCTGCTCCTTCTGCAACCCTCAGAGGCCTCTGAGCTACGTCCTTGGTACAACTAGAGTATTCCCACGTTGTCCTTGCCTGAATGGAAGGAATTCCCAGCTGTCCTGTGGCTGTCTGCTGCTGGCTCCTCTCTTTCTCGACTGTTCTGGGCTTTGAGTGTGAACAAGTGTGTGTCTGTGGGGGTGTGACTGCGGGGGCCAGGGCAGGTCTGGATGTGTCACAGTGTGCAAGATAGAGCCCCACTTCGGCCATCGTTCTCCCCCACAAGACCATGCCTAAACCGGCTGACTGGTTATTCTCTTTCCCCCTGGGGTGCTGAAGCTGGGACCCCTGGGGCCTGCCAGGAGACCATGGCCTCATGAACCACGAGTTCCATAGACTTTGTGATTCACCCCCTGGCCTGACCTGACTTCACAAGTGACACGAATGCTCTGGGCTCCCTCCCTCCCTCCCCCAAAACACAGAGGCATCTCTATTTTGGCCTCAAAGGTCCTATAAAGCAAACCCAACCCCTCCTTTAGGATCTGGAGAGGTTGGAGTTTGCTCCCCAGGTGGGGAACTAATGCAGAAACGGGGGCCCCAGAGGGATCCACCCAGTGCCCCTGGGCCCTACACCCCTCCCCTGCCACAAAGCCCCTCCTAGAAGGCTCAGAGCTGCACTGGGGACCCTTCTAGTAGACAGAGCTAACAGGCTCCTTCCTAGGAGTCTGAGAAGCGTCAGAGAGACAGGAAAGGGCCCTGAGAGGAGGCATGAGGGCCCTGAATGGGTGCAGGGGAATCATTCTTTGCCAGCCTGGGGCTAGTCTGGCTGTGGCTGGGAACATGCCCTCTTAGCAAAGGCAGTAGCCATAGCTGCTAGACAGGGCATCCCAGGGTGGGAAATCCTGGAACATCCCTCTCTGAGGGTCTGGGAAGAGAAGTGAGCCAGGGAGGTGGGCACAGGAGAGGCCCCTGTGGGTAGAGCCTGTGCCAGGCAGAGGTCTGGGGAGAATCCCAGGCCAGAAGTCAGGTAGGAGTTCAAGGGACCCTGCTCGGTCCTTTCAGGTGTCTCATTAGGTCCTGAGACAGAAGCCATGGAGTCACCTCTGCCTCGAGGCATGTGAGTGTGTTCCCAAGCCCAGGGCCTCCCTCTCTCCCAAAGACTGGCCTCTTGGCCCAGCTCTTCTCTCTGTCCTAGAACTCTCTAGACCCAATCAACAATAAACCTTCATAAAAAACCCTCTGGCCCATTCCCCTGCAAACAGGACTAACACTGCTAACAGCCTGGGAGCCTGTGGGAAGCCCTCAGCACAGAGGTGGCCCCAAAATCTCCAGGGAAAGCCTATGCTGTTTTGTGGATGGCCAGGGGCACAGGAGAAGGCACAGAGCAGCCGGTGCTGCCGGGCTGGGAGCCAGAGCCCAGGCCCCACCTGGGGCCCCAAGTTTGTACCCTAGACCATCAGGGAGGGCATGGCAGGCAGGAGGCAAGCTCCAGTCCAGGCTTCTCCCCACTGGCTGAGCTGGGCTGGGGTCAGGCCCCAGGCCACTTGGTTGGTGCCCCAGGCGACAGCACAGGGAGGGAGGAAGCAAGAGGCAGACTGGGTCATCCTGGGAGACGTATTGGGACCAGAGTTCTTAGCAGAGATGCTCCTGAGGCTGAAAAGTTAGAGAAGAGGTCTGTGGGTCATGCGGTTCCTGCTCCTGTCTTCACCAACATCCACCCTATTATGGATGTGGCGGTCACCTCTCTGCAGGCAGCTGCACATCTTGTGTGCCCAACCGGTCCCAGGGCCTATGCTGAGCGGCACCTGGGCCCCTGGGCTCAAGGCACTGGCTGGGATCACAGCAAGCATGTGGCACAGGCATGCAAGTGGTCTTTTTTACACCCCCCCCCCAAAAAAAATACAAAAGAGAAAGTCCCACGTCTTGGCTCTCGGTCATCAGACGGGCAGGGAATGCGCTGCTTCTCTCCCAACCACAGTCCATCTCATTTGTGGGATTGGCTCCTCCTCCAACACGCAGAATATGCTGCTTGCTAGATCCCAGGAAACGGTGGGGCCGAGAAACAAACCAGAACACTGAGGGCAAATACCAGGCTGTGTCCATGAGACTAAACCTCATTATTCGTCAGTTTCACAGGAAATTTAATTTCCTTTCTTCTTCTTGCTTTTCACATCTGATGTGGGCTGACAGTGGGGAGACTTAGGGGCTTGACTCCAAGTCCGTGCTTCGGGAGCTCAGGGAAGAGTGGGCGCTTGGCAGCCGTGGTCCTGCCCTCCTGCGGTGGTGGGGGTGTGCGGAGGCCTCTAGCCGGCGGGGGCCGTCCCTGCCAGCACAGCACCCTGGTTAGTTCTATTTCTTCTGAACTGTAAAGGGGAGAACAGTTGAGGCAAAACAGAGCTCAGAACAAGTCTTCAAGTCCTCGTTTTGAGGTTTGGGGTGTTTGTTTCCTAGTGGGAGATGGTAATAGGGTGATCTGGTTCACAGTGGCTTGGGACCCCCAAACATAGAACCATCTGTGCCTGAAGTTTTTAAACAATTCCCTTTGCCAACTTGAGTTCGGTAGTTCTCATTTGCCATCAAAAAAGTCATGACTATGGGGCACCTGGGCGGCTCAGTGGGTTAAGTGTCCAACTTCAGCTCAAGTATGATCTCACGGTTCGTGAGTTCAAGCCCCGCATCAGGCTCTGTGCTGACAGCTCAGAGCCTGGAGCCTGCTTCAGATCCTGTGTCTCCATCTCTCTCTCTGTCCCTCCCCTGCTTGAGCTGTCTCTCTCTCTCAAAAATAAAGATTAAAAATAATAAAAAAAAAAAGTCACGGCTAACATGACGAGCAGGACAGAGGAGAGTGAGGCACACAGGGTGATACGGAGGCTAATGCCCTGGCCGGAGATCCCTGTCTTCCATATACCTGCATGTGCATCAGCCCCAGAGAGAGAGCAGAATGTGCTTCCTCTCAGATACTTAGTCAGTGGAGGATGTGGGCTTTGAACCCAGGCAGGCTGATTACCAACCTGAACTCTTCCCTCTCCAAAGAAGTGGCCAAGGTTGCCCATGACCCCACCGCCGTATCCCAGGCTTTCTGCCCCAAGTTGAACACTCATGTTCTGGACCAGTGCCTCCTTTAATGACGGGGCTGGAAATCTTATTGAAATGCAGGTTCTGATTCAGTGGGTCTGGGATGGGACACATTCCCAGTGTCAGCAGCCACTGCCGCTGTCCACACAGCGCATCTAGAGTAGCAAGATGTTTAGGGGAAAAGTTTAGACTGACCACTGCAAATGGCAGAGATGCTTGGGGGCTTCCCGAGGCCAGCGTGTGAAGGGAGGCGAGTGGACCGCACTGACCCGCGTGGCCCAGAAACTCAAACCTGCACCGGCCTTTTGAGCAGCTGAGAGTCACCTTTGAAAATGGTGCCCCTGCTTGGATAAGCTCCCTGGGCCACATCTGGGGGCTTACAAAAGTGTTACTGCCAGACTTCCACCACATGCGTAGTTTACTTCTTGTATGTGCTGGCAGCCCCAGCAGGAATGCTCGCAGGGCAGGCCCAGCATTCGCCAAGCAGCATCGCATCCATGATCTTGGGTGACGCTCGCAGGCTCAACCAGGCACCACACTGGCCCAGGACTGGGGCCACCTCTGGTTCCCAGACCTGTGCTCTTTCCACCCCCTTTCCTAATGATCCAGGCATAAGGGAGGTCTGAAGCCAGTCCCACTCTGCTGGGCACTCCTGGGGACGGGGTCGCTTCTCCGAGAGGATTGGCCTGTGGCCCTTATATGCTCTTACTCCAGTCTCACCGCCCCCTCCCCTGGGAGCTGGGCTGCGCCTTTCCGTGGTCCGCACCCCGAGCAAGCTGCCTCCCTCAGCTCCGTGTGGCTGAGCCTCACCTGCGAAATTGACGGTCACGGCCACAATGATGATGATGATTCCCATGATGATGAAGGTGATGCTGAGCAGCCGGGCCAGGCGGCCCAGCCTCCGGGCCCCGTCCAGGTCCCCCTGTTGCACACTACTTCGAGACTGCAGAGAGAGGGTGGCAGAGACCTCAGGAAGGCTCTTCCCAGCAGCCCTGTTGGGGGGGGGGGCCTTTGCCTGGGCCTCCAGAGCCCACCCAGCCCCCACCTCAGCCCACACTCCAGCACCCACCTCGGGGGCAGGAAGCAGGCTTCTCCTGTAGAACTGGCCTGGACCCAAGTGGCTCAGCTCTCTTGTGGGAACCCCCAACTGAGCTTGCCCCTCACTGGACGCAGAACCAAGCAATGCGGGGCACTTCCTCTCAGGACAGTGATGGGGCAGGGTGGCCATGGCAGGTGTTCTGGTGAAGATGGAGGGCCTGGGAGAGTGGACCAGGTCCAGGCCATGCTGGGCTAACAGGAGCAGACACGCCAGGCCCCTCTGGACCCCTGCCCAAGGCTCACTGCTATGACCACACTAAGCCCCAGTGGCTTTTTAAAAAAATGTTTTTTAATGCTTATTTATTTTTGAGAGAGAGACAGAGAGAGAGAGAGTTGGGGGGGGGCGGAGAGAGGGAGACACAAAATCTGAAGCAGTTTCCAGGCTCTGAGCTGTCAGCATGGAGCCAGGTGTGGGGCTTGAAACCATGAACTGTGAGATCATGACCTGAGCCAAAGTTGGACGCTTAACCGACTGAGCCACCCAGCGCCCCTCCTGTGGCTTTTTCTGTGGCCCGAGGTGCCTGCCTCCTCTCCTCTGTGACCCCTTCTTCCACAGCAGGAAAAAAGTATCTTCGATCCTTCCTCCTCCTATTTTCACCCAGGAACCACATCTTAGTTCAACCAAGCTGACTTGCCGAATCACACCAGAAAGGCAGGTATCTTGGGTTTGAACTGAAAGGCTGGGGCTTGGCGAGAGCCACGCCTGGCTTCACCAGACCCATTTGATACTTCTTTCTCAGTGAGCTCGGTTTTTCTCAGCCTTATTTAATTCGGTGAAACCAGGTGGGTGAGTGTGGGGATGGCCAGAAAGGATCCTGGGAGCTCCTGGGAGTGGCTCAGGAGGAGGTGTGTCCCACCCTCCCCCACCCCCACCCCTCACCCTCACCCATAATGCTTCAGGTGTCAACCTGCTGGCCAGGGCTGACTGTGACCTGCAGATTCCTCCAGCTCTAGAGCTCCCTGATGCTCCTTGGGCTTCCAGAACAGGCACAGGCAGGAGTCCGCTAAAGGTGTGACTGCTTTCAAGGTCTTAGGCCACTTATTTGGTTATTTTATTTTCAGATTATTTGAGGCTCCCGAGTTCAGCACAGAAATGTAGTCAAGTCCCTTGATGATGGCAGTGGTGATGATGATGTGTCTTGAGCCCTTACTTTGTGCTGGGACTTGCTAAGGACTGTACCTGGAAGATCTCCCTTAGGCTCAGAACCATCCCATGAGGCTGGCAGTGTTGGTCACTTTTAAAGGACCTGGAGTTCAGGGGACGCCTGGGTGGCTCAGCTGGTTAAACGTCTGACTCTTGATTTCGGCTCAGGTCATGATCTCATGGTTTGTGAGATCAAGCCCTGGGTCCGGCTATGTGCTCACAACTTGGAGCTTTGCTTGAGATTCTCTCTCTCTGTGCCCCTGCCCCACTCATGCTCTCTCTCTCTCTCTCAAGATAAATAAACATATAAACATTAAAAAAAAAACTTGTAAAGAAGCTGCAGTTCAGGGAAGAGGGTGCTCCCCTTCCCCAGGTGCTGTTTCTCCTCTCAGAAACCTAACCAACCCTCCACCCCACCTCACGGCTCCCTGTCCAAGCTCCTTCCAGGACAGTGCCACCTGCCTGGTGCAGTGTTTGACCTCAGACTCTCTTTGCCCTGGATCTGCTCCTGGCCTTGTGCTCCTCTGTCCACTTGCCCGATTATTGGCCACAGCCCACAGTCCTCCCACTCGGTCACAACACCTGTCTGCTGCCACCCTACCCATCAGTTTCCTCTCCTGGCCAGTTCCCCCACAGTCCTCCCTGGCCCCCTTGCACCTGCCCTGGTTCCAGGTGCCACTTCTCACCCAAGCCAACACAACAGCCTCCTGAAGAGCCTCCCACCCCCGGCCCCGGCTCTGAGCTCTCCTCCTCTCCGTGTCACCCCCACGCCACCATCCCACTCCACACATGTTTATGCCAGGCCCTGTGCGAGGCCCCCGGCATGTGGTCCTAGGGTGGGATCAGAGAGGAGGTGGAGAGACAGGAGCTGACGCATGAGTTCAAAGAGATGATGGTGGCTTAGGCAGTGGTCCTGCCCAGCATCTTCCATGGCCCCCCACCACCGTTCATAGAACAAAGTCCAAACCCAGGTCAGCTCTGCACCTTCCCGATTTTATCTTCTACTCTTCCCTGCCACAACGGATGCCTTTGCCGGCACTGACCTCTCCCTGCTTTTGTTCCCGCTCCCGCTCAAACACCACACGTCCACATCCTCTCCATCTGTCGAGGGCTGCCTCGGATGCCACCTTCTCCTCCGTGAAACTTGCTGAGACTGGACTGATAATGATCCCTAACATGATTTGACCATCTACCTTGGACCTGGAACTATGTTAAGTGCTTGCCATCAGGCAGAGCATTAGAGCATCCCCACACTCCTATGAGTGTGTTAGGGAGGGTTATTAGACCATTTTACAAAGGAGGGGCTAGAGCCCAGAGCACCATGCAGGTGTGAGAGAAGGGGAGAAAGGCCAGATCAGGAAGGGCCCGAACTACCGCAGGATGGAATCTGGATTTTGTCTTGTAAGCCCTGGGGAGCCTGCAGCGGGGAGAGACAAAGAGAGGGTTTCGACAGGAGAGGGAAAAGATCCAGTCAGAGGGAGAGGCTGAAAAGACCAAGGAGTGACAGGTGCCCCCATGTCCCAGGGCAGCAGGGAGAGGTCTGGACTTGCGCAAAGGGATGCCCTACAGCCAGCAGAGGAGAGCACTGCTGTTATTGGAGACTAGATACACGTGGGTGCGGGCGGCCGCACGCTTTGACCGGTCTGCAGGCGGGTCGGGGCAGAGTCGTGAGGGTTCAGTCTCCGGACACCAGGGCGCTCGGTGACAATAAACGAGTGTGATCCCGTGAGACATGAAAGAACAGATGGGTCTGGCTTGAGGAGGGGGCATGGGCGGGGGCTCGGGTAACAGCCCATCCTGAGGCTCACTTGGACATGGCGAGGACTTGAGGGAGCATGTACAGCCTCCCAGCTCCCTGCAAAGGCAGCCAGCCCGGATAGGAGCACAGGCTTTGGAACCAGACCTCCTGGATGCCTGTCCCCATCCTCCACAGCTGTCCCCGCAGCGTGGCTTCTTCTCTATCTCTCCCCGTCCTCAAATACAGTCACGTATGAATTCCTGACCTCTCTAATGTTCCTCAAGTCTGTCCCTACCTCTCCAGCCCTGAGTCCACGGCCCTAGCCCACTCTCACAGTTTGTTTCATCTGGAGACTGCACAGCCTCCTTCCTTCTCACTGGTCTCTCTGCTCCAGCCTTGCCCCCCGCCAACCTCTTCTTCCTTTTTTATTTTATTTCATTTATTTTAGAGAGAGAGCGAGAGAAAGGGAGAGGGGGAGAGGGAGAGAGAGAGAATCTCAAGCAGGCTCCCCACTCACCGCAGAGCCTGACACGGGACTCGATCCCATGACCCTGAGATCACGACCTGAGCCAAAATCAAGAGTCAGATGCTCAAGTGACTGAGCCACCGTGGAGCCCCTCCAGCCAACCTCTTTAGAGCCAAGGTGAGGTCTTTAAACCACAAGCCTGGTCACATGGCTCTCCGTAAAAGGGATACTTTTTTTTTTTTAATGAAATTTTTCTGTTTCTTTTAAAAATGTTTTTCATGTAAAAACATTTTTTAAAGTAGGCTCCACATCCAACATGGAGCTTGAACTCACAGCTCTGAGGTTAAGAGTCACCTGCTTTACTGACTGAGCCAGCCAGATGCCCCAAAAGGGACACATTTTTATGCCTCGGTGCCTTGGCCTGTACTGTTGTCTCTGCTGGAATAGCTTTCCTCATTACCACATTGCCACTTCAGCTCCTTCCAACCCTTCAAGAGTCACCTCCAATAAAACTTTCCCTGGGGTCCACAAGCAATTAATCACCTTCTCCTTGGAGCTCCCATAGCATCTCACACCATGCTCTTTGCCTCTCTTCCCATCTTGTGTCATTACTTCTTGTGTCAGTCTCTTTCCCTAGACTGTAAGCCCCTTGAAGGCAGGGACCACAAAGCCTAAATCTTTGTGCCCCTCTTATGTAACCTAGGGACTGGCCCTAGTAGGTATTCAGTAAATGTTTGAGGAAGTGAAGAATAACAGAAGAGAGAAAAAGAATGAGCGGTGTTTTCTAACCAGTGAACTTAGTCAGTGGAATGCTCGAGTTATAATAGAAGATTCCTGAATGAAATATAGGCAATAGGTCCCACAGGAGAGATATCTGTTATCTGGGTTTGGGCCCCACCCACTAACCCAGGCCACCTCCAGCTCTCTGCAAGGCTGGCCCAGGGTACTGAACTAAGGACTTCAACACCAAGGCAACATTGGGAGGAAGAGGGGGAAACATACAGAAAAGCTTTAGGGATTTCCAGGAAGTTGAGCTGTAGAAATTCTGGGGCTACCTGGAATCATTACCAAGGGACTCATTCTCGGCCATAAGCATGGCATGTACTGGGGAGGGGCCCAGGGTTTCAGAGGAGTCCTGCTCCTCACTTGCCAGAGAAATCTTTGTGTGTTCAATAATGATCCAGGACCGTGGAGAGAGGTGCACGTGTGGTTGCTTGGGTTTGAGAGGTGGGGAGGGGAAGCAAGAGGAGAGATGAATTTTTCAGTCGCTCTAAACCCAATCCCTCTTCTTTATCCGCAGCACCATCAGCCCATGCATCCCAGTCATGCGTGTTCCTTTTAGCCCGAGAGACGGCGTTGAGGGAGATCACTGGGAATGGCCAGATGGAGTGGGGCAGACCCGACTTCACCTGCTATGTTGTGTCAGACACTTTATGTGTCATACATTGTCCAGTGTAAACCTCAAAAGTATTCTGTAAATCTTCATTTTCTGATCCG